AGGGGAACACTCCTTGTAAACCTTAGGGAGACCATAAGCCATGGGGGTCCTTGCATCTCTCTGGAGTAATGAATTCATTTTCCACTTCTCCATTTCACCATTACAGTTACGCATGCCTTAAGGGCATCCTTTAGCCTAGTCTTAAATATTTCTGTTTGGTCTCTGAATACAGGTATATACCTGTCATTGTCATTTAAATGAACTAGCATCTTTTCTACATAAGTTGATTTACCCATGACTATCACTGCTCCGCCTTTGTCGGCTTTCGTTATGATTAGATTATTATTACACAGATATCTATAAATCCTATTTAGATGACAATCTTTCTTAGGTGGTATTATATGGTCAAAATGAGGGATCATCTCCAGTTCATTACTACTCCTTACCTCTTCAGGCAATCTATCAGATAAGCTAATTAATTCAACAAGTATTTCCAGAGAATGGTTTACCTCATTTGGAAGAGCAAAAATAAGTCCTCTTTTCGATGAAAGTACTACACTATCCTCCAGAGTTGTACTAGATAAATTGATTGCCTTCCCCATTTTGTTACAACCATCGGTAGTACGATTTTTCTTAGGTGCAAAGTTTCTTGACCTTATTCTAATTCCTTAATTCCGGAGCTTCTTATCATGTATCCGACGAGTAGTTCTGCAAATCGCCTCTCCTGAGCCGTCAGCCATGTCTTGTAACTTAATGAAATCCACATCATTCAACAGTTTAGAGAGATTGTCTAAGCTTAGTTCGGGTTCTAATTTGTTCGTGCAGTTTGGGAATAATTTCCTTGAGCCTAGTTTTAACTAAACCATACAATACTTGATCAAGTTGTCTATTTGTGGATGTCGGTAGATTATAAACCGAGTAAACAACACCTAGGAACAACATTATGAGAAATACAAATTTTTGAAACAAACTGACACGGTTTTTTCTTAGTAACGGATATCCCAGAGCATTTATAGAAAAAAATGTAGAGGTTATAAAGGGTCGATTTCAACTTGGATTTTATGAAAATCAGAGCAGGAATCAGGATGACAACCAAAAGTGGATTTGCTTACCCTCGTCAGAACTGAGCCAACAATTGCGACCGTTACTAAGGAAATGGAATATCAGGGGGATAAGATACGAAATGAAGGTCCCCTAACAATGTTATCTCAGGAGATTCATCGAAACCAAGTTTCTCTTCGTATGTTCTTTTATTTAACTTGGGAATTGTACAATTAATTAGGTGTAATGGTATGATTACCTATATATTTGAATAAAAGCTGGGTTTTGAAAGTCCATTAATGATATTGGTGTACCTTTCATTTCATTTAAAGGGGCGAATGAAAAAATTCTAAAATGTCCTTACTTGAAACCGAAGAGTGATTCCCTTGGAGTTGTGACTATAGATTTGTGTAAATAATTCTCACGCTTTGATTGAGGGACTTGTAAAAACTTGACTCCAGATCCAGAAGGCTGTTTGCCGCAAGGTTATAATAGTCCTAGATATGTTGGGATCCCGTATATTGTACTGAATATTGCCTTACCTTTAAGAAGTCTTTCAAAGAACACTCTTCAGATATCAGACTTCACAGCCTCCTTTAGAATAATGCTTTTGTGATATTTTTTCTTATGCCTATTTCCTTTATCCACTTTAGTTCAGGAATCCCCTCCAAATTCATTATCGTCTTCCCCAAAATCCACAGTTTCAATATCCTCATCAATGAGCTCTCCTGTTTCGGGTGTGACCTCACTTGCTCATGCCGATCGACGCGAAGGACTGCCCGACTCTTGCTCGCGGCAAGGCGCTTGCGAATCTGATAATCTTAGCAAAAATGTTGAGTCTCGGTCTGCACCCGCTGGCCGCGAACTTGGAACTGCATCAGTCTCTACTTCGTCCAGATCTTCTTCCTCTGCCTCTTCAATGGATGACTTCTCATCAAAAACCTCTTCGTCAGCTTCCTCTAATGCCTCCTCCGGTTCCACCTCACCTTCTGCCACTGGCAAGCCCTCTCAGACCACTGCATCAGTGGCTGTGAATTCTCACCCACATTCTTCCCGTTCTATCTCTTATTCCTCTGCCTCCTCTTCCTGTCGCTCGTCTTCTTCGAGCTCCTCCCACTCCTCATCTTCAACCGCTACCTCATCCGGTTCCTGCTCTTCTCGATCTCATTCACCTTCTCCCTCTCTCTCTCCTCACTCATCCATTTCGCGATCCGGCTCCGATTCCTCAGTAGCGTGCTCATCCACCTCTAGTGCCTCTGCTTCTTCTGTCACATCTCCCTCATCTACCTCTACTACCTCACCATCTCCTGCCCACCGTACCCGACCATCCCTCAAGATCGCTAAGAATTTGGAGGATTGCGGTTCCTCTGAGGATGATGAGCAAGTTGTGGTAGAGCGACAACATCAGCGACACCAAAGAAATCATTCTAAATTGCAAAAGGACATACATGATTCGAATCAAGATAAACTATTGATTCGAACTAACCATGGGTATGTCATAATGGTTCTCACCTACTTTCTTCCTTAATTTTTCTACCAGCTCTGCTACCTTCGTACCCGCTATCAACTTACCTGCTTTCCAACTTACTTACGACACTCCCTGATTCTATCTAGCTGCCTTAATCATTACTCTGCTTTCATTTTTTTCTATCCATCACTTTTTTTACTGGATTGCACGTTTTGAGTTAAGTACAAATCCTTTATAATTATGTTTAATTTCACATCCTCATTGGGTTGAGTTTACATCGTTATCTTCTCTTCCACTATACCACCAAGCCAATTTTTTTCGGCCAATCAATTTTATTGCAGCCAAAACTTATTAGCATTAATATTAGCAACCTTAAGTTTTTGTTCTGTATTTCAATGAGTTCAACTTTTATTTACTATGCACTCATGGTTATTGAGCGTTGGTTAGCAAATCGTTAAATTCGAAGAAAAATTAGAGTTTAAGGTGAGCTTTATTTATTAAAATTAGCTAGGAATACGGAATAGTCATATTGAATGCTATTCATCCTTTTCTTAGTCCTTAAGTCCTCAGTCATCTTAACAGCTCCGCCTTAATATTTTATTACGTTACTGTACGATTTATTAATATAACTATGGCTGAAACCGAATTGATCTTGCCTTCTAAACCGTTTCATTCCGACAGGGAAATATGATTTCGTAGCCACTTTTATTGGTTACAACCATTTTTGTATAGTGTAACAGTGAAACTACACTGAATTGAATTATATTATCACTGAATTCTACTGGTTTATTTATCTAACAATATAATAATAATATACAAACCTCAGTCTGTCTTGGATGATATCTTGGTAATAGCGCATCCATAACATGCCTAATTCAATTATTTCTGAGTGGGTAGATCCCGTTTATCTAGTGTCTTGGCCTCTTGCATCTCAGTATTTCCGGGCTTGGCATGTTTTATCTTTTAAACCTAACAAAAATGACAAAAAGTTATGGGAAAGGGAACGTCATGCGGATCGAGTGTTTGTCTAAGCAAAGAAACAAAGGTACATCAAATAAACAAATGCAATTGCAAAATGTTAATTTTTGTGTCGCCTAGAGTGAGATGGAGTTGGTATTGGTTGATGAAATAAGAGATGAGAGGAATTACCTGAATGAATGTCTGTATTCATCGATTTGAGAACATTGGGCATTCTAGCTAGTAGGGCAAGAAACTAAGGACTGCAGGATAAAATGTATATCAACGGAGCCTAGAGGAAAAACAGAGGCCCTTTAATTTTGACCTTCGCTCTCGCTTGTTTGCTGAATATTTGACTGATTGTGTGCGCACGCATTTTCAACAGTGTCTTCTCCGGAGGTTGGATGCTTGAAAGTGTCATTGGCTCAAGGGAAGATGAGAAGCAGTATCAAACGAGACTTGTGTCGGCTCATGAGTATATGAAAAGAAGAATGACACAAAAAAGAAAACCAACTGCCTATCCAGCCTACACGCACAGCCGGAACAGGTAATTTATATGGATGTTATTTAAACCTAGTTTAATGGTATGAATTTGTGTGGCTGAGTTCTAATGTTTATCATAAATAAATGTTTAGTGTCTACGTGATAAGCAATGGGGGTCACAATTCGCTGTCAAAGGTCAAAGACTGATAGACCTATGGTCAAACCAATGGTTGATGATTTGACTGCAGCACACACTTGGGGAAGCTATTAAGTATAGTATGCTTAAGCTCCACTGACTAATCGAGTCTTTTGAGTGTGCCCTGACTAAAGATGAGTTGCACAAATCTCCCCGAAATTGTGACCTTAACGAGTTCCATCTACTTGTTCTTGCAATGGATTGTTCCAGATATAGTTCCATATGTTTGTTGGAATTTCAAGACGATATCATTAGTGAAATGAGCCGTATTTAGTTTTTAATCATCAATCAAGCCTCATTCAAATTAAATTAAAAAGGTAAAAAGCTAATGTACGAAGATTAGGATAGCGAAACTTAGAAATGGAAACGAGTTTAGGCTCATTGTAAGTTCATAGTTTAAATGAATGAGACAAGAATGATATGTTGACAGTGATTAAGACAGACTAGACAACCGCATTAACATCTTAAAAAGAGGTAGAGTGCTTTTTATTATTAATTCTCTTTGCTATATTTTTCATAGTTGGATTATATGTTTGGTCTTATTTTAGCAGATCTCTACAGTCTGGGTTATTTTTGGCAGATCTGTGGATTATACCGGCGTTGGAGATTTAAGTACAGACCTTCACACCTACTTTACTTACTATTTTACATCCTTATTTACATTGAAATCCTAAACTAGGTATTTTGCAGGCATTCTTGATGTTTTGCATTTTCATGCTTTCATACTTAAAAATTTATTTTTACATTTAACTCAGCCTCGCTTCGCTTGATGAATCTCGTCGAATTACTGTTATCGAGAGCCACCATGCTCGGACTTC